CTTTGTCTGTATATTCTACACATGTCACATGGATTCTACCAGGGCTTGATGCTAAACCTAGTGATGCCATATACTGGGAACCAAATTCTTTCCTGGGGTACGTAGGGTGTAATTCCTGCTCCAAACTGGTTTTGATCCAGGGGCACCTGCACCCGGATGCAGAATTTGGACTTGAGTTTCTATGGATGAATCTAATGATTTCTTTGCTTTTCCAGAGTGTCTTTGATTATTTTTATTTGACTATTTTTTTAATGTGTCGAAATATGACAGAAAAAGTGTATTCTGTCTCATTATTTTACATTTTTTAGTTTGTCTATTACATGAGTGACAGTGATGTTCTCAAAGCTTATTACACAACTTATCAAATGAGTTTTGTTTTTTGCCCACTCTGCATGCTAAAAATGTCTGGAGCTAAACTAATGTTTTAAGTAAACCATCTTTTCTCATATTAGTTTTGGAGGAAAGTGGAGAGATAACCATTGTTTCTGTTTGTGTTCTATAAAATAACTATTTTTGTAGCTAAAATTTCAGTTGTTGGATTTCAATCCCACAGTGTTGCTTTGTGGATATAAATTTACCTGGGTCCGCTATTTCAAACAGTATATGTAAAACAAGTCCAGCATAAAATTAAACTAATAAAATGCACTCTTTTGCAATTTGTTGTTGAAAACATGGCAAATCATTTTGGTCCAAGAATTCAAAACAAAATGGAGAAAATACATTTAACTATTTAAGTTTATTCCTTGATGCTGCTGCTTATTTTTTGAAAAGGTGCTTGCAGTTTTGCACAAAAAGAAATCAACTTTATTAATTGCTGGGTTTGAAGCACTTTAGGATTCTTCTAAATACAACCAGTATATCGTGTAAAAAGGAAGGACATAACATGTTTAATGTGCTTAAATTTTGGTTGCCATCTTTGCTATTCTGATCGATTTGATCAGCATGTTCCTTTAAACCTGTTTTCAGAGATTTGAAATCAGACATTTTTTCTTATGGGCTGAAATTTTGCACATGGTAAGAGATCATTTGAGAAATATCCTGTAACTGGGTGACTTGATCAGCAGTGTGAACACCTGGCCATCTATTTGATAAAGACACAACGAAGACACAGCAATGTCTGTTCCTATAGCAGGGTCAGCCGGCTGTGAGCACTAGGATTCTTTTTATAAACAAAAAAACCCTTTTTCTGAACTTTTGGCTATGCATCATAAAGTAGTTGTATGTGCTGTGGTAGGGCCAGAGCATCTGCTCTGTGGGACTCCACAGCAGCAGATGCTCTGTGAGCACCACAGGAAGATGCTGTCCCTGCTCTAAAATACTCAACCCAAGCCCTGATATTTTCTGGGGTGTCCTTAAGCAGGTACCTGTGTCTTTGTTTCCCAGGCTGGGTCTGTAGCTCAGCTCTCTGTAGCTCCCTGGGATAACAAAAGCAGAGGAGGAAGGAATCAGGCCCGAAGAGCATTTGGTGTTTGTTACTGATCACAGAGCTCCTCGATGCCCGAGAGCATTTGCTGTTGTCTTGTCTTCTGATGGGGAAAAACTTTTTTTGAAAAAAACCCAAGTTGTGTCACGAGCTTTTCTATGAATTCAGATGCTTAAATTGGTGCTAATTTTTTAAAAGAAAATGTAACAGATGGTTAGCAGTGTATTTGTCTGTTTTTGATACCTATATTTTCTTAACTGGTGGCAAGCCAAACTTTATAAAATGAATAATGTGCGTTTTCAGCTTCATCAGATTCCCAGATTTTCCTGAAGTAAAGTGTTTAATCTTCCACGGTAGCTACTGCTTCTTTGGAGCTTTCAGGTGTTTTATACACTAATAAAATGAACACAATTAGAACAGACAGCAATACCAAACTATCCTTTTCTTTAAATCACATGTTGTGGTTCCCCAGGTGGTTTTAGCAGTTTAGTGTGATCAAGATGCCTAATTAAGAGCAAACCAGAGATACCTGTGTGCAGTTAACTCAGAGCAGTGAAGCCTTATCTGGTTGTTAAGATAATTTATAAAGATTATACAAATCTTCGTCTATTTTAAAGAGGGAATAACAAGTAGAAATCATTAACTGTTTTTGTACAAATTAAAATGTTAATTCTAGAGAATATATTCTTTAGTGTACGCCAGAATACGTACTATTAAAGAGTATAATAGGCTCATTGAGTGATTTATTATCAAATCCACTTTTATCCAATAAATCAAAATAACCCCCCTTCAAAACTTAGTTGTTTGAGAATTCCTTTTGAAATGCCTTCAAGTTTAACTCCCCTCGGAATCCTGTGTTGCTTTGGTCCTCTTTCCCACCTTCTGTTTACCAAATGTCACAAAAAGTAGCATCAAGCCCTATCCCTTGTTACAGTGTTCTGATTTTATGGCCTTAATATTAGTTGCAGTATGGTATGTAAATTCAGAAGAAAAATGTGTTTTGAAGTCTAATTCTATAGATAAATGTGGCCTCTTCTGCCTATGAAATTAGGCTTTGATTGTCATATCTCATTCTCGATGCTTGTGCAATAGGAACATGTTCCTCTCAATGCAGTGGCTATTCTGTCTGATGCTGGACTTTGTTTTTAGGATGACTAGAAAGTTTTTTGGCTTTTTTATTTTTATGGACAGCAGTCATGCTTCCTTGGTTTTTTGGACTGATACTCTTTAGGAAACTAGAATTTCATAAGGAAAACTGTCAATAACTAGTTCTGTAGTTCTAGTTAAAGCCTTGTTCTGAAGCTTTTTTTGTTGTTTTTTTTTCTTTCCAAAAATCTTATTGTAAAACAGTACTAAAGCCACTGTAAAATGACAAATAAATATGTATACCTAAAAGATTTGAGCAGTCTGTCTTATTTGCTGTAGCAATGTTTTCTTTTTCTTGATTCTTCCTGTGTTGTAGAATGTTTTCTGTAAACAAAATTATGTATGTTAGATGTATAGATCAGTTCTTTCAAAACATGATGTTTCAGTTACTACTTCAGCTTCCAGTTAACCAAAAAATAAATGTTGGCATGAAAAATGAATGAAGAAAAGCTTTAAGAGATTGGTTGGAGCAGCTTTTTTCCTAATCAACTGGAACATTTGGACACATTAACAGCACTTGGTTTTACTGCCAAGTGTGCTCTGAAACTTGATTGGGGGGTTTATTGTTGTTTAAATGGCAGAAGCTTGAAAAAAATAGTTCCATTGTGCTTATTTTGGGGATGACATAAGTATTTTTGCAAAGACAGTGCTGAGGTTTCCAGGCTCCTCACAGAGCTCTCTGCTCTAACTCCAGGGGAGGGGAGTTAAAACTCAACTGCTACTTTGATCTAATGGCTTTTAATGGAGGGTTTCTGATATTAAAGGAGGGATTAACAGCTGCCTTCCTAGAGCCAGGACTAGGGCTCACAGCCAGCCTTTGGTGTTGTGAAAGCTTCATCTGGAACTGAAATAATTTTTAACAGCAATGTTGCTCTTTCTTGCATGGAAAACTTGGAATTTTTGCCTCTTCTCTACCAGGCTTTGCAAGAGAATATCTGGATAAAGCAAGGATGCCCAGTAGATCCCAAAGCATCCTTATATTGGATGATAGGATGTTTTTCAGGTGCTTCTTCAGCTACAGAAGATCTAATCCATTAAATACAGAACAACAGCAATAAAAGAATTAAGCAGGATGATGATGTGTTTTACGAAGTGCTTTACAAAGCATTGCCCAAAAACATTCCTTGCTTATGCCATACCTTTCCTTTATATTTCCTGCAAGTTCTTGAAGCTGGCAGGGCAGTTTTAGAAAGGTAAGGAGGGAGTGATGTGATTAAACAAGACCCAAATATTTTTTGAGGGACTTCAGAAATTGATTTTTTTCGTAGCAATGAGGTCTCAAAAAAATAAGAAAAAAAAAGATGGGAAAAAAAAAACAAGAAGAAAAAGAAACAAGAAGAATGCTAGTGCGTGGAATTCTAATGGAAAACCTGCTCATCTGTGCTTGCTTGGTGTGAAGGTAAGGTGGCAAAGAAACAGGCTGTTGTTCAGTGATGCATTTGCACGAGTGCATGGAAGGGGTTGGCTGGGGGGCACTTGGGAATGAAGAGCCTGCAACACTGCCTGGGGCTTGGAATAGAGCAGGGCTGTCACACTCTGGGGGCCTTGTGGGGTAAGACTCTGTTTTTTTTGATTCATTCGTATTTGATCTTAAAAACAAGCTGCTTGCTCTTCCGTGGGGAAGAAGAGAAACATCTGTGTGGTTTCTGCTTACACACCATCAGCTGCTTTGTTGAGACACTGAGCTCTCAGGTAGGTGGCCACTCTTACATTTAATCTTGCTGGAAGAGCAAATAATGAACCACGTGTTTTTATCATACAAAGTATAATTTTAAGTTGGTACTTAAGTTTTTTAAGTAACAGATGCTGTTTGTTCACATGAAACTTCTGGAGTAGGTTAAAAGAACAGTGGTTATTCTGTTGATATTCAGCTGTATAAGTGTCATTAATGCTGTATCAAGATAATTAACATATTTCTTGTGTAGAGAGAGGTGGCTCAGGAGGGAAGGACCCTACCAGTGACAGTCTTAAGACTAATGTGTTCTTATGTGAGTGCTGTAGGGAGGCTAATTGTAATCCAGAGGAGCAAATGGCTTTGTAAGGGATCTCCTCCCTCTCCATGGATGAATATCCCTTCAGTGAGAGCTCTGGATCCCAGGCACAAGAGTGCTGTAAGGAGATGCAGTATGTGTCTCATTGTTTCTCTGTCTCTAACTGAAACAGCTGATTTGGGGTGCAGGTGAGAGCTCAGCACCCTTTTGAAGCCCATGTAATAACTGGCACCTCTGGGGTGGCTGGTAAAACACTCCAGCAAGCCTGACATCCCTAGATTAAAACCACTCAGGCATTTAGAGCATCACTCAGGGTGACCCAAAAAATACCAGAGTGCTTCTCCAGTGCACTGCACAGGCTGGCTTGGGAGGGGGCACTGGAAAATATCTGAAAGTTTTTTCTAATGGGAAGAGAAAATCCTGGAGTTCAGGGATCCCATCATTATATAATTGACAGCCGAGGTTTTCCTGTTATGTTTCATATTTCACCTCTGAACCCGAGGTGAGGCCTTTCTCTCTCCCACGGCTCCATTTAGAACTGACACACTCCTGTTTATTTCCACCTGTTCATTCCCCCAAAGGTTTCAAAGAACTCCTCCATTTCTTTTTGGAGCATTTCATTTCTTCTCTCTGCATCTTCCTTTGCTCTCTCTGCATTTCTCATCTTCATCTCCACCAGCCTGTACCACTTACGCTGCTGTCCCAGTTTCCAGTGCATCCCCTGGATCTCCAACTGCAGGACTCTGTTCTGCTGCTCCAGGCTGTTGGAAACAGATATTGTGAAATACAACATTATTTCCCTCTTTTTTTTAGAAAAGCTCCAGTCTTTTTTTAAAGTTAGCCTTTTTAAACATATGTTCCCATAAATACAAGTGTCGGCACCCCCAATACTTTTCCAATTTATGGTGTTATACATTAGAAGCTGCAATTTTTAGTTATCCTAATTTACAGTAAATATAAATAACCATATGGCCAAAGGAGTCAGTTTGGGGGTTGGTTGGGTTTTTTTGGGTTTTATTTTTGTAGTAGAATACTACAGTAGTCTAACAGTGAATGGCAATGCAACATATTTTAGGAGACACTGAGGATTTTGCTTATATTGCAGTTCCCTTGAACTGCAAGGAAAAATAGAAGTAGAATACAGCAAAGAAATTTAAAAAAAAGCTAAAATCCTAGGAACAGCTCCTTTACTAAGAAAAAAATTGATGAATACTTCAAGAAATTAAAGATTAAATGGATTTTTTCTTTGCACAGGGCAAAGTGTAATTCGACATTACCCACCTGCCATCTGTTGAAATGCTGCATGTTGAGGCATTTTCTGGTTTATGTCAATTCACATGACATGCTTGTAACTTATAACTAATTAACAATATTATATTTAAAATGTTCACTCCTTTTAACTACACAATAGCAAAGCAGCACTATTTGGAAAGTGGAGCCAAAAGCTGCCTTTTGGCTTTGATAACACGTTATGGCTAAATCTCTATTTAGTTTCTAATCTTAGAAGTTGGGAAAATACTTATGAACACTTTCTTCAGAGTTGTTAAAATTCACGGCTTGCAATTTGTAAAGAATAATGACTTACTGCTAATGCTGCTGAGCAGTCTGCACATTATTCCCTGGAGAAATGCTTGATATTGGATTAAGGCAAAAAGAGAAAATACACAATAGACCAGAGGCTTTTCGAGAGCTCTGCACAGCCCTGCAAAAAATCTTATAGATGCTCTGGAGTTCCTCAAGCACCTCACATGAAAAGAATTCGGATAACTTTGAATAATTCCCTACCTAATCCTGTCATGCTGGATCCTGGTGCCATTCCCAGTGGTGAGTGGAGGCATTGACTGCAGCAGCATCCACAGACCCTGTACTTGGAGTGGTTGCATTCAGTAGGAAGGGATCCCTTCCCTGAAGCCTCACAGCTTTTTAAAATCCTTTACCTTGCAATTTTAGATTCATACTCAGCCTTCTGCCTGGCCATCAGCATCCTCAGATGTGCGGGGTGCTGCTGTGGGGAGGGTGGGTTTGCACAGCTGTCGCTGCCGTCCCCTGGGATGTGTCCTGTGTTTTCCTGCTCCTGCAGAACAGGACTTACAGCTGCAGTGGTTTCTTGGCAGTCTTCTGGGTGGGCAAGTCTTGTCAAGTATCTTGAAGGAGTGTTTTCCTCAGACATGGCTCAGCAGCAGGAGCCTGTGGAGCTGCCCAACCTGCCCCACCCACGGCCCTCCAGCGCTGGCACCCGCTCGGTGCCTCTTCTGCTCCAGAGGAGACCTTGTCTCTGTGTGTCTGTCTTGCTCTGCCTTGCCAGGGTTCTGAGAGTTTTCTTCCTCCCCACAGCTGTTTGGAGCTTTTCAAATACTTGGAAACGGTCCACTTTGCTGGGGCTGGGATCTTGTTTCAGGCTCCAGCTTTGCCTTTTGTACGCAGCAGGCTGAGGGCTCGAACTGCTGCGCCCATCTGCTGCCCAGTCCCATTGTCACCATGGCTGGTTTATTCTCACCTCCAGGAGCTACTGCTGCTTTCCTACCCCCACTCTCTTTGCTGTAGTTTGTCTGACATCTGCAGGGGGCCCGTTTGAGAGCTGCCCACCCTTAAGTGGTTTCATTCCAGAGCTGGGAGGTGAATTCTACAGCATTATCCCAGTCCCAAGCCTGTGCAGGGCCCGCTTTGCTGCAAGGAGGAGGCTCCTTGCATTCCCCTTCACGTGCATTTAGGAGGGAGACATGTAATGTGTGTTTTGGCTGTGTTGTATCCTGCTGGTCAAACATGACAAAAATTGCATGGATGTAAAATGGCTCGTTGTGCTGCTCATCCCTGGAGCATCCGCTGCGTTGGCTTTGGCCGACTCCTCCGGTCACGATGCTCCAAGGACAAGAAGCTGGAGGTTAAGGAAAAATAGGCCACATCAGCGATATTCCCATTCCTCTTGGAAAGACATTCTTTGATGTGAATAGATACAGTGTTTATTTTAGCTGCCTGTTCTCACCAGAGAATCAAGCACGGCACAAAAATAACTCGCCTGCAACTAAAGGAAGAGCAACCCTTGCAGTTTAAATGCATATCTCAAAAATAATGGAGATGGTTTAAAATAATCTGAGAGGTTGTTTCCTCTTCCCGACCCCCACCTGTTCAGTCTCATGATACAAGAAGTGAAAATGAGCTTATTTAAGTGCTGCTGTGTTTCTGTAAGTGTTTTCAAGGCCTCTCTGTGAAAACCTCCTCCGTTTCCCTCTGCCCACCAGACAAAGCTGGGATGTGTTCCCTGCAAAAATTGGGTCTGGGAGGTTATTGAGACGTTTTTCCACCTTAATGTGTGCTCCCATCAGTCAGAAGGGTGCTTAGAAATTAGCAGGCATGTGAATGTTTTGGGAATCTAAAGAAGGCCTGGGGTGAGTATGTAAAAGCAAAGTAAGGCTTTAGCTGTCTGAGAGGGGAGATGCTGTACTGGAGGAAAGTGGGGAGAAATCCTCTAATTTGATTTTGCAGAAGTAAAATAATAAACTGATTAAAATTCCACCATCAACCCCCGCTCCCCACCCATTGCTGCAGTTGCTGCAACCTAAACTTTTCCTCCAGAAAAAGATCTTCCCAGAGTATTACTGTGCTTTACAGTCCTGTGGCTATTAATAAACTGACAGATGGCTGTAGTTTCTGATGAATCAGATTCAGTTTCATTGATTAATCTGTTTTCTCCTCACCCCAAAGGAAAGCACAGCTGTGCTGACCAGCAGCTGCTCTTGCACAAACCTGTTTTCCACAGGCACATCCTGGAGAGGGAGCGATCCCAGCACTGCTGCCATCAGGAGACTGGTGGGGAGCTGGTCAGTCATCTCTGCCCAGCCAGGATGGAGGAGCAGGACAGTCAAGGGGTCCCCATTTGAGAGCAGATGGACTTGGAGGAGCCTGGTCCCTTTTGCAGCTATAACAACATGATGTGGGTGAAATTAGGGAAGTCAGTGGGATAAAGGAAACTGGGAGAGCTGTGCTTAAGGCATTTCACCTCTGGTCATGGTCCCCAAGCCCATGTACTGCTGGAACTGGTTCAAGTGGTTCTTATAGGGAGACCCTTTGGAGGCAGCAGATTTTCAGCCCATGAGGCTGGGACTTGGGAACAAGCAGCCCTTATTCCTGTGCCTCTTTTACAGAGTGGCTGCCAAGCTCCACATTAGGAACTCGAAGTCCATCAGAGCACATCAACAGGGTATCACAGCTGGAGTCTCATCTTCTCTGTGCTTCCTCTCCTAATTACAATCTCGCTGATGCACAGCACCATATAATTTTGATTTCCTCCCCCACACCCCTCTGGATTTACATTTATTCATATGCCATGTTCTCCTTTCACCTTCCCTATGGCTTCTCTGGGAAGATTGCTTGTATTAGTTTCCTGACAATGTAAAGGTCAGCGATGAAAAGAGCTGTGTATTTTTTTGCCCTGAAGCAGAGGAAGAGCTCTGTTCCAGACTCTCAGCTTGCAGAGAGCTCGGATGTTTTGAAAAATTGTTTCTTATTTTGGACTGACTTGGGATGGAGCTTGTGATTCTCTGTGATGACCTCTCCCTGGAGCGCAGAGATGCTGCCATGTGTGGTTAAAATTTAACATGCTTGAAATAGTTCCTCCAGGCGAGCTGTGGGACTCGGCCTCCCTCAGTTCTGGTCCTGTGCCAGCTGCCTGTTCCCCTGCATCGCCTCTGAGCTGCAGAATAGAGACCAGAGTACCCTTACTCTGCCTCTTGTGGGGTGTCATTTGCTCTGGGGACAGAGGAGATGTGACTGTTCCAAAAGGGATGTCGATCAGCCCTGGGAACGTGCATGTTTGAGGTTACTGTCTAGCTAAAATCTCACAACTTCCTTCACGCAAAAACTCATGATAGGGAGTCACAGAATGGTTGGGATTGGAAGGGACTTTGAAGATCATCTTGTTCCAACCCTTGTTGTGGGCAGGGACATTTTCCACTAGACCAAGTTGCTTCAAGCCCCATTCAACCTGGCCTTGGACACTTTCAGCTTCTCTTGGCAACCTGTGCCAGGGCCTCACCACCTTCACAGGGAAGAATTTCTTCCTAATATCTACCTGCTCTCTGTCAGTCTGAAGCCATTCCTCATGTCCTGTCACTGCACACCCTTCTCTAATTCCATCTTCACTACACAGTTGGACTGTTGCTGGATTAATCAGCACTTTCTCATCCTCAGACTGGGGCTAGAGATGAGCTCAGCTGCCATCAAGGGAGAAACCAGAGTGATCTGCACACAGCTTGCTGGGCATCTCCTTGTGCTGGACTCAGCTCTCCCAGCGTGTTAAAATACCTGTGTGTGGTGTGTGCAGGCAGCCAAGTGCTGCTCCAAATGCAGGTGTACCTGGAATGGTTGGGCTTGGCCACACCTGAAAACCAGCACTGTGCTCCTGAATCACCCTGATGCTATCAATGAGACCCTCCTGCAGCTGGGCTGGAGAAGGTGTCCTGATGTGGGGACACACTGCTGGGAGCTGCTGTCCTCTTCAGCAGGATGCAGTTGGAGCTGTGTGTGGGATGCCAGGCTGGATGGGGCTGAAGTTTAATAATTTCAGAGATTCTTTGGGAAAATATTTTAACTCTTTGCTAGCAATGACACACTCGCCCTGAGGCATTTCTGCTAAACTTGATGTATGAATGGTTACTTTGGAGCGAGGTCGGGTCCTTAATAGTTGTAGGAGTTGTTTGTTTGTACACATTTGTTCAGACTGAACTTCTGTGTTGTAATGGAAAAGAAGACTTCTCATGGACTGACTCTTTACAGAATGATTTGTCTTGAGCTGTGTTTGGAAACTAGAACCAATAAAAATGCATGAACTCATTTTTGTATTAAATTAAACTACCTGTAGACAACATGTTTTGCATCTAAAATTGACTTTAATGCTCTCCTGGTTTGCCATTAATGAATTGAAAGTTTTGCTCTTGCTGGGTTTTTTTCAGCCTGAACTTCCATGATGTTGGAATAGTGTATCCCATAGTCTCATCTCTTGTTTTCTTCTTGCAGTTGAATTAAAAATAGTATCAGTTCCCTGTGCTTTTTTTTTTCAAATCCACTTGGGCTTTTTAATTCCGAACGAAATATTTACTGTGCTAAACATGGTGAATAAAGGGAAACAAAGAAAATGTTCTCTGTGCACCTTCAGAAAGAGGCCCAGGATGGACCAGCCTTGGCTGGGTCAGGCTCTGGATCCAGACACTTTCTGACGTCCTGAGTCTGAGCTCTGTTAAACTTTTGGCATCAGTCCTGTATTTTTTGATCACAATCTTTTTGGAAAAAAAAAAGAAATAGAAATGAAATAATAAAAAGCAAACTTTCGTAACTTGATTTTGAAAGCTGATTACGTTTTTAATCTTAGTTTGGCTTTTTCATGATTCACCTTCTTATACAGAGGTGCTGCCACATTCCAGTAGAGGAGGAAGAGGTGCCTGTGGCTCAGCTCCACAAGGAGCTGAGCTTTTCAAGCTTTGGGGTTTGTCAGGAATATTGGATATTGCCTGTCTGCATAACTTAATGCTTTTGTGCCTAAATACAGAGGTCTGCAGCCAGACAGCGTCACAGAAAGCGAGGGCTCTTGCGTTTGGGCAGCTGGAAGCTGCTTGAAAAATAGAGTTGGAGTCTCCTTCCTGTGATCCCAGCAAAGAGCCATGAGCGTTTTTTAGCTTCTCTTGCTCATCACAGGCTGGAGCTGAACGTGGCATCGCCCTCCTACCCCCCAGGGCCAGGTCATGGTCCTGCAACCCTGTGGGGCTGGAGCTGGCTGGGGGCTCCGGAGCCTTTCCCGGTGGGAGACGCTGTCAGATGTTCGGGGCTGTTCTCCCCAGAGTGCGGGGATGAGTGGGAAGGGAAAGATGACCTTTTTTCTTTCCTCCCCAGCTGTACTCAGCCGCTTACCCGCTAGATGTCACAGTTGGGTCCGGGCTGGGGCTCCTGGGTCCGGAGCTGCAGGAGCCCAAACGTCAGGAGAGGAAAAATCCCACCATTTTTTTCAAGCTCTCTGGCAGTTTGTGACCATCTTACAAAAACAAGCCATAA